GAAAAAAAAAAAGCAGCAGCTCCTGTCAAGCTTTTTTTTTTCCTTCTTCTTTTATTCAAAGAAAAAAAAAATAATAATAAAATGAGGGGGAGGCTTTAATGCTCCTTGCCCCTACTATTAATTGGGCCCAATAGCACCCCTGCTATAGAAGATGAATTACGCGGCTCTTGGAAGCCGCTTGGATGCGATTCTGTTGAAGGTGGCAGGGGAAGAGGGCAGGGACCCGTTGCGCCGGCGGCAGGAATTGCGCAGCCCGGACGCTGCCTCTCGTCTGGCTCCCAGGTTTTGCTTACTAGTGTGTTTTGGGCAAATCTCATCGCCCCCCCGCTAACTGCCCGCTTGGTAATCGGTGCTACTGGCCGAGCAGGGAGGGGATGAGACATGAGGAGGGTTTTCTCCTTCTCAGATGTCTTCTCTCCCGTCGGAAGCAGGCAAATACATCCTCGGCTGCACTTGACAGAAGCTCTCGAGCCCCCAGTGCTTAGGCTGCGCCTGTAGTTCAGTTTTTCCACTGCCTCCTTTGGCCACAGCAAACATCACAGGCTCCATCCATGCCTGCTCCAGTGCGTGTGTACCGGGAATGAATGCCTCGTGCTTTGACCTCAGGAGGACAGCTGCCCTCCTCTGCCCTAGGGAAATTACTGCACGATCTACTAGGTATCCCTCGACTTGATGCCATAAAGCTGTTCTTTCACAGTACCTTAATCACCCCTGCACATCGACATTAACTTTATAGTGATTAAGTTGCCTTTTTCTTTACCCTCACCTATTTTAGCCCTATAGTCCCTTCTGAATTAAGTTGTCACAGGTTACACTTGCCAGGAGTTTCCAGTCACAGCCTCCTAGGTGGGACATGGCTGTTTCTGAAGAACCTCTGCTTTGTTTCTAGAGAAGGAACATGTAGAAGAGCTGGGTCACAAAGGGTCACAGGCATTCAGTAGCCCAGCTGGGCTATTGCCTGTGGTGTTACAGCTAAATACACACAACAGAAGTCAGACAGACTGACTGGGATCTATCTGAAAGCACAATGAGAATCATGTAAAAACATCAACCAAGAACCACCGAAGATTTTCTCCATCCGACCACATCTCAGGAACCATCTTCTTTCTGCAAAGTGTTTTAATGTTTTCTGAAGCTCGTGAACAGCAGCCCCAGCGGCAGTGACTTTTTCCTTCCCAGGGCAGCTGTGAAGAAAAGCACTTTTCTCCATGCAGCTGTAGCTGTGTGCTGGGGTCATGAAGGTGCCCAGCAGCTTGGAGCTGCTGCACACTGTTTGCATTGGCAAGGGCTCTGCTGTGGGGGAATCTTGCACCAATGGGGCCAGCTAACCTACTGCTGCTGTGGGTACCAGCAAAGACAAGATTCTCCAAGGGACGAAGGAGCTAAGAAAATACATTATTTACAGGTATATGGACACACACAGACTCTGAAAGTAAATTTACTCAATTCTTTAAAAGCACTGCAGACACAACTAAGTCTGCATCCTCCTGAAGTGAGAGTTCATGGTACTTACCACTTAAATCTATCAATTCCTGCAAGGCCCCGTTAAACAACATCATTCCACAACATCACACATTTGCTGCTGTGCATGTCAATGTCCTGCTCCTGCTGACCTCAAAAACACAGCTGTGGTGTCAGGAATGGCAATGTTTCCAAAAGTACTCAAATAAACAAGCAAATTCAACATGTAGACTCAGCTGGTTTCACTTCTGCAACACACCTGTATAGAACCGGGGCAACAGTTCCTCGAGCTGTTACATCTCACAGCTCTGCTACTAACCAGCTGAGGAATCAGCTCGGTTACATGAGGTACCTCAACCACAAATATGTGTGAAGAAAAGGGTTATTAAATTATTTCCTTCAAAAGCTACAGCTGAAACCATGGAGAAAGTCCTTACATGGCACCTACAGCCCTAGAACACTTTGTTGCTTTAACTACACTTCCCATTACTTGCCTCAGTGTCTTCAGAGCAGGCATAGGACAGTGCTCTGCACTCTCCTGTAGGAAACCATCTTGCAGGGAGACAGCAGATGCAGCCCTGCCAGACTGCAAAGGGTTTCGATTCTTGCAAGTTTATTTTTATTCCAACTTGCAGAAAAACATGCCAAACTTCATAGTGTCTTTCACAAAACGCTGAAGCCTTAGAGATGCCATACGTGCTCAGTGCCTGGCTGGCCAGGCTGCCCATACAGCTGCAGGTCCTGGATGTCCAAGCTCCAGAGGAACCCTCTACTTAAGTCTTTAGAGATCCATCCAGGCTGACAGCAAACTAGTCCGGCTAGGTTTTGAAAGTTGCTGAGATTCCTTCTTATTTGGCCATACTTCCTCAAAGCCTCTGAGACCAGCTAGGAAAATAATTAAAGTAAGTCGTGGTTTTGTTCTCAGTCGAGACAGCCCATTTGCTTTTCTGACCCTTCTAGTGTGGCACGATGTCAGCCTTCCCCAGGTGCAGGTCTCCATTTTGCCTCACCACTGCAACAAAGCTCAAGTCCCTAAAACTTTTTCATATGCCCATAGTGACGTTTTTGCCTGGCAGAACTTCCTGAGCACAGCAGCAGAGATGGGCTTCAGCTTCTTCATTCCAAAAGCTGAGGCCACTTGAAATAAATCCCCAGTGGCTGCAGAAGGCCCATCACACATGACTGAACTGCACCAGCTGGACCCAGGAAGGGCCACCTTCCTGTTAGCCAATCATTCAAATATACATCAGCACTCATAAACACTCCATTTCCATTTTGTAAATGGAAAATATCTGAAACATATACATCAGGATATACCTGATCTTATTTCTTTAATCTCTTCTCTGCGCATTTACTCCCCCCCCCCTCCCCAGAAGTCCTGCAAACCAGACTCTAAACAGGTGTAATTTCTACCTTGCTAAAGTAGTGCACAGAAGAGGCAATCAAAAATTGTTAGACATGACAGATCCAAACCATGTGCACTCTACAAAACTAGATAAAAGCTAATACGATCAGAATTCAATAATCACATGCCTTTCTTCACAGGGAATCCAGTTCCCACATTCTACCTTTAATTTTCTGGACTGATGTATCTGTCAGAATCATCCCAATTGTGTCTCTCTATTTTACCCTGAAAAGGTTTTTTCTTTTTATTCATTCCAAAGTAGTTTGTATGTTAGTTTCAAAAGCAGCTGGGATTGTCAGACACTAAACTTGCATTTATCTGTTCCCTGTTCCTTTATGAAATAGACTTCTCCAGTGAGGCTGCTGTCAGTGGAAGCTTAATGGGTCCTTAGCGTGTATACAGAGAAAGAACAAAACTTAATCTGTTTTGGAGCCTTTAATTCAATACAATACTGTCTTTCTATATATTGATTTACTTTTTTTTAATAAACAGTAACTGTTTATTAGAAAAACAGAGACACCTGGAAAGTCACTTCACTAAACGTAAAGGTTTCATGTTTCCTATTAACTTAAAAATTACGTGGTCAGGATTTTACAGTTTGTGGTTTCTTTTTAGATTGTTTTGGTTATACGCAAATGTGCTGTGTGAAATACAAAGGCAATAATCTTTCTAAAACTGCTGACGACCAGGTCATTAAGTGAGGTGGCTGGCCACATTTCATAAACTAAAGAACGTTGTTGGAAGAGGAATAACTTTTAAAAGTTAAGAGGTGACTTTTGTAAACTCTCACACTG